CTTCTTCCAATCTTATGAGCCAAAAGGGATATTTCAAAAAGGTGTCTGGATATGTGTTTCTTTCTCTGTTGTAGTTCCCCGTGGTGTAGGGTTATTGAGTAGTGAGATCAACACAACTCAGCTGTATACTCAAGGTCCTGTGGGATAAAAGTTGATATTTAACAATGTGCTAATGAGGAAGTTGAGTCTAGAGACAGTTGCTACCTGTGCATATCCCAAGGAATCAGTGCTCTTGCTGAATGAACAAGGAAGCTGGAGTAGAGATGTCACCAAGTGTTCCATCTTCAGACATCTGGAGGTGTTATAGATATTCCTCTCATAGTTATTATAAGGATAGTGCAAGGAAGTATTGTAGTGAATGAAAGAGTCTGACATTTGTGATATGCTCTGTCAGCATCTTGGCATTGTGGTCAGCACAAATGTTACCTGTTTGAAGGAACATCTTCTTGCATACATAAGTGTATATGTGGGTGATGTGTTGTCAAACAAGTTGTCTTGACATCGTGCTTTTGTATGGAAGTTGTTTTTGGTCTGGTTGTTTGTGAAAGTTTACTTCTCTCTGTATTGATTTTTTCCTGGAGTATCTCTGATCTATTCTTGTAGTATAATCATTTACTGCTATGAGTTAATTCTCAAGTAGTTCATGAAAGTGAATGTGCCTAAGATGTTGTGACAATAATATTTCCTATGAATGTTGTCCATAACCAAGGTTAAGGGTTTAAGGAACTAATGTCCAAGCGAATGTTAGGACATTATTTAAGCATATTATTTTTGGGAACTCATCTTATGGAGTTTGTGTGCTCCAACAGATTTAGAACTAAATCATCTAGTTCTGATGAAGTTTGGAGTGGAGTTTTGGCCAAGTTTGGTGGTGATAATGGATGAAAGGAAGGATCTAATGTATGGTACATGATGGCATACCTAATGTTTGGTCTATCTGGGTATTCTATTATGACATTGTGAAGCATGGAAATGTTTTATGCATGTCTATGTGCTCCCTTGTTATGCAGGAATGTCATGATCTGACATCCTTCTAGACGCTGATGATTAAAAAGGAAATGTATTTCTTCTAATATGGTTATGTTACTGATGTCAAAACAAATGTGCATAACATCTTTCCCGCCTGATGTGCTTTGGAAAACTTTGATTCCTCTTAAATGTGTTTGAGGTATATCTTTCCGTTGTGTGTGTGCCTCTGATATGTGAACTAGGATAGTTCATCATGATGGCACTGTAGGCTGTGATCTCTAACAAAGTGGTGTATCTGTCTGTGTTGCTGCTAGAAGATTGTAGTATGTACAGAGCTTACATGGTCTCGTGTAGCTTGTGTTATTTTGTGTTGTCAGACCTAATGTCTTGACATTATGCTTAAGCTGTTCAAATTGCTGATTTCTTCAACTATGTATTCCAGAGAGGGGATTGTTGTGTTTTCACTGCATGGTGTTCTAAGTTGTTCACTGTAAGTTTATCTTTTTACTATATGGATCCTGTTCTGTTTCGAGCTTGTGGACCTTTGGTTGATTAAGGAAAGGTCTGCTTGAGAAACTATCATGTCTTTGTGAATTAGTAAGAGTCTTTTTTTTTGTCTAAGCATGTTGTTGAGGAAGCTGTTGCTCCAAATTGTGTTAAATGTTAGAAGATTCCAATGTCAAACGCAACGTCATGACAAGCTGATCACAATCAGTTGTTTCAAGGATTCTCTCTATGTACAACTGAACAACATTGCTATGACTAGTCAAAATCCAATCAGGAGTGTTTTGGGAGGTTGTATTAATGAAGAGTTATATCATCTTCAGTGTAGGAGGCATGAAATACATTTTTCCTTTGGTGCATGTGTGGTTCAAGAAAAGTAATTTTTCAATGACATTGGAAATATCATTTCAAGACTACATTCAAAGGTCGAAAAGCTAAAAAGAAGATTGCCTCTATTACCCATGATATTTTTCCGTCCGATCCATAGTCCTATTCTTGATTGTCCAGGCGTTATAAATAAGGGTGTTACTCTTTGTTGCAGTTTTAGCCGTGTACTCAATCGTGTTTCAACATGAACCAAAATTCCAAACCTTCAGGTGCTTCAAAGGATGGCTTGTTGGATATAAAAAATTTTAAGAGTGTTGATTCAAAGAAGGTAGAGTCTAATTTTGGGACATCTGTTGTCTCATCTACTAGAGCATGTAGGACAAGGAAGGCATCTGTGACAACAATGAGGTCCTTCAAGAAAAACCAATACTCTAATGAGGATTGTGGTGAAGATTGGGTTCATTTCATTAACTCAGGAGCTTGGAGTGGTTTGTAGGCTCCATAGTTGAAGCCTTCTTGTGGTTTGTTTTTTGTTTTGTTGTTTTAATGTTTTTGGCTGTAATAAGTTCATGGTAACTTATTTTTCCATCTGGTGTTTTGTGTTTGTTTCAATTTGTACTATTTGTAGCCTTTACTACTGTGTGATTCCTGTTTTTCTTGTTTACATTTACTCTATTGTCTTTTTGTCAATTTTTGGCTAAAAAAGGGGAGTAAAGTGTTGTGATGTTAGATCAGATGTCACGTGTGTACTACTGCTTGGGAAGAGTAGTCGTGTTTTTTATGTTGCTGAACTTGTGCAACTATTTAGGGGGATCTGAGATGCTCATGCTGTTGTCAATGTTTAGAGGCAGTATTTTGGAGGAACTGAGCTGTTGTCAATGTTGAGGGGAAGTGTTTGGTAATGTTGTGCAACATGATCTGACATGTTGTTGTGATGGAGAATCATGGGTGCTCTATGACTGTTTATTACTCTGATACTCTGAGTGATATGCATGACTTCTGCTGTATGTGTTTCTAATATGTGTGGCTTCTGCTGTATGCATTTTTAATGCATGAACTTGGATAGTTCATGATTTTATGCCTTAAGCTTTGGGTTTTCCCCTTTAGGGAGAGTATTGGGTATGTGTGACAGGTGGAGAAATGGATCTGTCTAAGATTATTGAGTTGAAACTGTGATGTTAGACTACATGTCTTGACATCTGATCACTGGAGATTTTGGAGGTTGAAGGAGTTGTAACCTCTAATGACTTGTAGCTGCACCTTATATCTAATATTTTTTCTGATTGCATGTTTTGTGGTATTATTCCTCTTCTCTAGAATTGTTGTGTAGGTTGTTTTAGTCAACATTTGCCAAAGGGGGAGATTGTAAGTTCTGTGACTTTTGGATTGGCTGCATTTTGGTAAAATAACATGTTGTTGACAAGATGTTCAACCTGTTGTTCTTGCCATGACAGTCAGACATCATGTTCTACATGATGTTGTGACATGTTCCAGGACATGTTATACCTGATAGCTAGGGCATGGTTATTTTAGTAATTTGAGTATGATTTTTGAGTGTGTCTGATTCACACGTATGCGCTATCCAAGGAAGGATATTTTAGGAACTTCTATCTTGACAAATTATGATGTTTTTCTGGAAAAGGATTGTTGAGCCTTTTTAGGCAACTTTGTATTTTGCTCCTATTTTTGTGCAGGAAATTGTGCTTGTGATTCCAAGCTGATTCTTGATGAATTGAGCTTCAAGAAGCCCAACTTTAGTATTTCTGAAGGCTATTTAAAGAAGACCTAAACCTAATGAACCAACGACTTTTCACTTGTGTAAAATAAGGGGAGGTTTTGTAGTGTTAGGTTTTGAGAGTCTCTTGTGTGTGACTTTGTAAGTCACCCTTTGTATCATTTGATGCATTGTCCTAGACATATTGTTTGTTGTATATTGTTTTCACTCTAAAGCTTTTAAGCAATGGAGTTGAGTATTGTTCTTGGTTGGAGCTTTGAAGCAAAACCAAGTATTGTTCTTGGTTAAGAGTCTTGACCTAGTATTATAGTAGAAAGAGGGTACATCTTTCTTTTTGGTTTCTTGTGGCATGGTCATTGGGATTATGACTACTTGTTAGGAAGTGAGAGGGGGGTCTCATATCTAGATGGTGATTTCTAGGTAGAAGTAGCACAAGGTAGTGATTAGGCGAGAAGTTGTAAACGAGCGAGTTTAGCTTTGAACTAATGTTATCATAGTGGATTTCCTTCCGGACTTGGATGCCCCCAGATGTATGTGATGTTGCACCGAACTGGGTTAACAATTAACCGTGTTATTTATCATTCTGCAATTTACAGTTTCTACATAATTAAAGATTAATAATATTATTTCTATCAGATTTTAGATGTCACAACATCTGTCTTGACATTGTACTCTGATATTGGAACATTAGAATCTTCATCATGTGTTTCATGTGCCAGAAAATTTCATATTTCTAAAGTGAAGCATCCTAACTCCATCAACCATTATAGACCTATTTCGCTTTGCAATGTTCTCTACAAGATTGTTAGCAAAGTTATGATGGGAAGACTCAAGAGGTGTATTCCTAAGCTTGTCTCTCCTTTTCAATTTGGTTATGTACCGGGAAGAAGCATACATAAGAATATCATTGTGACCCAGGAAATTATTCATAGTATGAACAAGATGAAAGGGAAAAAAAGGGGCATTTTCTATTAAAGTGGATCTTTCAAAGGCATATGATAAGTTAAGTTGGGAGTTTGTGTGGAGGATTTTAGAGTAAATCAAGCTTCCAAGTCAACTGATTAATATTATTGTGCATGGTGCAACAAGTGTTTAATCTAATATTAAATGGAATGTTGTGGCTTCGAATTTCTTTCGCCCTTGCAGAGGTATCCGTCAGAGTGATCCTATATCCCCATACCTTTTCATGCTTTGCATTGATAAGCTATCTCATATGATAATGCATGTTGTGGATGTTAATGATTGGAAGGCCATTAAAGTAGGGAAGTCTAGACCCTCTGTCTCTCATCTCATGTTTCTGAATGATCTTCTCCTCTTTGTAGAGGCATCTGCACACCAAATGTTGTGTGTGAAAAGAATCTTGAGTAAGTTTTGCCGGATATCCAGGGAGGAGGTTAGCCAAGAGAATACTCAAATTTTCTTTTCAAAGAATGTGAGCAAAGCAAAACGGGATCATTTGGTTTAGATGTTGGGCTTTGTGGAAACGAACACTTTGGGGAAATATCTTGGAGTCCCCCTCACAGGGAAAACTCCTAGGAAGAAAGATTTTCAGTACTTGATTGATCAAGTGAAATATAAACTGGCAGCTTGGAAAGGTAATCAGCTTGCTTTCGCGGGCAGAATTATGTTGGTAAAAAGTGTTATTGAAGCTCTTCATATTTATCCAATGATGATAGCAGCCATCCCTAAATCTTGTATTAATGAGATCAATAAGATTCAGAGGCATTTTATATGAGGGGACACTGCTGTAAAGAAAAAATATCACGCTGTGAATTGGCATACGATAACAAGACCTAAACATGATGAAGGTCTTATACTTAGAGACCTTGAAGTCATGAATGAAGCTTGCTTGGACAAACTTGGATGGCAAATGCTGCACGACGACGATAGTTTATGTAAGCAGATTATATTGGGGAAGTATGCAAGGCAAAATGATTACTCTAATTGGGTTGCAAAGAATACTGACTCCAGTTTTTTGAAAAATATGGCAAAGATATGGCCTAAAATTGTTAAGCATAGCATGTGGTATGTGGGAAATGGTTTGAAGATTGATGCTTAGAATGAAAATTGGGTATCATGTAATGTTAAAATTGTTGATCTGAATGTTAATATGCCTGCTCACCTTCAGGATGCGCAAGTTTCTGATTTGGTGACAATGGATGGCAATTGGAACTGGGATGTTCTTGACTCGTGCTTACCGACAAACGTTAGGACGCGTGTTTCGAGCATCGTTCCCCCACCATGGATGCAGGTCCTGATGAAGTTTTAGGTATTGGTGAGTGTGAAAATGGGTTCTCAGTTCAGGAAATGTATACCTTTTTGACTGAGCAAGCAATGCATATCATTACGACAGAATGGCTTGTAGTTTGGAGGCTTCGAGTTCCTCAATGTACTCGAGCCTTTATTTGGCTTCTAATGCATGATGGACTTCTTTCAAATAAGAAGAAGGCTCGGTTTGGTATTGGTAGTGCGATGTGTAACTTGTGCATTGATGTGGAGGAAGATGCCTTGCATGTTTTGAGGGATTGTCGCGTGCCATGGCGATTTGGTTGCCGGAGGTCCATACTAACAAAAGAGTTTCTTTTTTTTGCAAGTGATATTAAACAGTGGATCCATAGTACTATGGGATGACAAGATGGTCTTGAGTGGAAGGAGTTTTGGGCCCAAACTTATCACAATTTATGGATGTGGCATAACAAAGAAATGCATGATGACAACTGCTTTAGACCATTGAATATGGTAGCTCACGTCAGGATGCTCATGCATGAGTATGATTGGTGGAGGAGACGTCTGGGTCAAATAGAGATCATCTTCAGGAGTTGAAATTTAATAAGTGGGAGGCTCCTCGAATAAGAAGAGGGAAGCTTAATACAGATGGAGCGAGAGATGATTTTGGAAATTTTAGCCGTGGAGGTGTCATCCGAGGTAGTGAGGGTGAATGGCTCATGGGTTTTTCTAAGCACATTGGAACGTGTGACAACTATACTGTTGAACTCTGAGGGGTCTATGAAGGTTTGAAAATTGCTATCGATATGGGATTTACGCGTATTGATGTTAATTTGGATGCGCGGTTAGTAGTTCAAGATATTGCTACAAATAACTCGAGTAAGATCTGGGGTAGGAAACTTATTTCCAAGATAAGATACTAACTTTATCATTTTAAGGATATCTCTATTTCTCATATTTTTTGAGAAGCAAATTATTATACTAATGCGCTTGCTAGAAGAGGTCTTGCTCCATCTTAAGAACCTTGTATTTTCAGTAATTGCCCTGATTTTATGGCTCACCTTTTAGATAGGGATTTGGCCGGTGTGGCCATTCCTAGGCTTGTCTTTGCTCATCTTTTTGCTTTGGTCTTCGGCCCTCCTTGTCACCAATAAATAAATAAACGAGGGTTTTTAATCATGATTTGATACGAGAACAAGACGAGAAAACTTTCGGAGTAAATATTGACAAGGAAGAGTTATTAGGTCTTTTTATCGAATCCCCTAATTATATTTAATGATGAAATGTGTATCAGCTGATTAACAATTATGCGATAATTACACGGAGAATCAACATGACCACTGCACCCAATTTTTTGGGTGTGCAGCTCACTAATTTAAACAATAATTTCCTAATTCCTTTGGTTAATTCAAAGTTAAAATAGGTGTTTTAAGTTTGTTAATCCTAAAGTCACAACTTATAATTATCTATTCTTAGTTAGTTACTAAGTTGAATAATTATTTTAGTTCAGATCGATAGACTTACGGTTAACAATTCCTACTCATCTAGAAATCACTTTGCGCACTCGTCAACACGCAAAGAGCGTTCAACACGAGAACAATTGAATAATAATTATCATATAAAAGAAATCACAAAAACTCAAACATTCATATGACCTAATAGAGTACAATTAGGCTCATCTCAAAAAGACTTAATCTAAAATAACTTAGCTACTCATAGTGAAATTAACAATTTCCATGATTTGATAAGAAGAATGCATCAAAATCAGTGGAAAATATGCTCTCCAATGCCCTCCAAAATATTCCACAAAAGCTCCTTGACCCTTAATTTCTCTTTGGAATTCAGAACCCTAAAATAGTCTCCACCTTTTTTATTTAAAGCTGCAAAAAGTGTATTAGAATATCACGTCATCGTGGCTGCGTTAGGTTGCATCGTGATCGTGATATTGCTTCATCACGCCCACGATGAGAGCATCACAGTCGCGAGTGTCGCGGTGAAATTTGGATACCAAACTATTGATTAGTTTGAATCTTTAATTCATTTTGCAACCGAACTTTGATTTGTCCAAAGGAAGGGATAAAGATCGAAATTCCCACAATGCAATGCATATGCAAGGTTTAGAGAGTTTTAGGTTCGGAGGTTGGTTAAACTTAGGGAAGGTACTAGCATCCTAAGTTTCTATAGTACTCTACAGGAACCTCTTGTTTTATGTTTGTTTATTGCTAAGTGTTTATCTGCTTAAGGTATAAAAGACCTAGGGGTTTATATCTAAGTATACTTGATAAGATGTCGCATCTTATGCCTACATATCCTTACGGGAGTGGAATCAGAGTATCTGTAGTTCCCCTAAAGGGTTTGAGGAGTTCTTTGACTGTGGTCAAAGTTCCTACGGGTTCAGGGTAGTTGATTGATTGATTTTAGGAGAGACAGATGAGTAATCATTTTAAGGGAGATGTAACCGCCACGGGTTTGTAAGAATTGTTTGATGGTGTTCAGATTATACCTCGCTTAAGATGATTAACATCTATTTCTCTATTGTGTTTGAAAAGTTTGTATGTGTTGTTTTGTTTCCCTATGTTGTAAAAGATAAAGACAAGGCCCTTCCTATGGGTAGGATCTATCTTAGAGATCAACTTGAATGGGATCAAGGATCACGTGGGGAGAATGATGCAAATGATGTGCACTACACACAACGTTGAATTATGTGTAGGTTTTTCCTTTGGACGGAATGCGATGCGATAATATAAATATGATGATGTAGATTGCTTGTAAGATAAATTGCGGAAAGTAAATCCATACACACACATGAAAGCGCTAAAGTGTAGGTGAATGTGTCGTGAGTATGAGGTGTAATTGATTAAATTGTTTGCGATGTTGATTGATTAAGTTGATTTTAGTTTGAATTATAAGAAAATGTTGATTTGAGTGAATTGATTTTTCCCTTAAAAAGTGGTTGGATTTATTCTATTAGTTTTAGATGAAAGTTACCGAATTAATTTGTGAGAAAATGTTATTAGATTTTATTTCGTAAAAAGGTTTTTTTCGAATTATAGTTCAATTAAAATTTAAATAGAAAGGTTTTAAATAAATAAGTCTTCGCGAAATATTATTAGAGTAAAAAGGGTTTTAATTTTATTAATAAAGGATAAAGTTTATTTAGATTAAAAACAAAGGTTTAATATTATCATATTTTATATTTTTAAGTTAATTAAAATGGTTTCCACTAAATAAAAGAGCAAATGATCTTTAATTATAGGCTATATTTTTTCTAAAAGATTTACTGAATAATAAAAGGTAATTTATATGAAAATTGATTAAGAGGTAATTAAAGGTTAATTTAACTTAAAATGTTAGTTAGTTTAATATAAAAGGTTAATTGAGTTTGTTTAAATAAAAACCTAATTATGGAGTTGATTAGGTTAATTAGAGGGAGGTTTAGGCGTAAGATTAAGTGTGTGGATCGTGTGGTTAGTGAGTGATTAGTGTGTTATCAAGCATTACATTATACAAATAATGAAATAAAGAAAAAAAAAACGAAAACCTAATCCCCCCAACATCCCCAAATCGGAAAGGCACACTCCCTCTCTCATGATCCATCGCCTCTCCGCCTCACTTCGCGATTGATTCCTCCTTTCTCATCATGTTTTAGAACCTGAAAACAGACATCAAAAGCATCAATAATTTACAACACGGAAAAGGATTGAGCATTACCGATAGTTGAGGATCGCAGCGGTGCCGAAGGTGGTGTTCCGTCTGGTTGAACTTGCAGCGGTTTGGATTCGGAAAGGGTGGAGCTGGTTCCGTCAGCGGGAAGGAGATAAGTTCTTTTGCTCGCTTTCTTGTATTACGAGTGCTAGGGTTTGTGATATTTCTCGGTTTCTCACCATCATAATTCTTCGAATGCCTCTTCTCCTTTTATAGGTCTCAAACGAACTCCTTTTTTGATTGGATTTGATTAAAAGCTTTGAATGCTTGGTTTAGGTTTTTCCAAATTGGTTTAGACATGATTTGAAAAACTTTCCCCTTTCGTCCAATTTGTTTAATGTCTTGTTAAAGGAGATTTCAATCTCTGATACCATGTATCAATTTCGTTTAATATGTTGTCTGTCCAGGTTCAATGTTTGGGATTTGGATTGGATATTCTGAATCTTCTTGGGAATATTCTTCAGATGATTTTGCTAACTCGAGTTTTGTGATCTGGCAGGTGTAGAAAGCGGTTTGTTTTGGGCCAAGGGAGAATTAGTAGCCCAGAGCACCAACTTGACTTCTTTTTGACATTTGACTTAATGAATTTCGATTAATCTTTGATATTCTCTGGTGTAGACTCACGTGAAGTTGCTCAAAGTTCTTTCTTGCGAACAAAAGAAAAGGAAAAGAGAGGTTATTGTTCTTTCCACTTTGTTTTCCATTCTTGCCTTCAAATCAAGTTTGATATGTATCTAATGCTGTTGTAGATTATTAAATTGACATTATTGATGTTGTTGCAGCTGGTGCACTTGTTGTTGATGCTTGTCTGTTGTGAACATTTGCTCGCAGCTAACAGTGTTGTACTGCTGACTCTTCTCTTCTTTCTTCAGGTTGCCGATGATGGGTTTAGTGTCCACTTGGTCCTAGCTCTGATGCCGAGAAAAGTATAACGGTGATGATGACATGGTGGTCTGAACTATGAGCCAGGATTGTCGTCGCTTTTGAAATCTTTCGAACTCATGTTGAGAACTGTTCTGAAAAATGGTTGCCTCGTTTGTCTATAATTGATTCCTTTGGTGTTCGGTAAAGAGTTGACGATGACCTTGATTATTGTCCTCCTGGCCGCCCTACTTTTAGCCCGATGAT